CCTTTTTCCTATCCTCGGGTAGCTACGGGCTGTTAACTAGAGGGTTGTAAGGTAGTGCTAAATCCTCTAGTCACTACAGTTTCATTGCCAAACTGGTGATCTTCTCATACAGGTTCAAGTTCTGCCCTCATTTTTTAGGTCCTAATTACCTCCGCTTTCAAGGAAGTTAAGAAAATCTTTCTAATCCTGACTCTTGGCCTGATGATTGCATTCAATTATCCCAGGATCAAGCACTATGGCAAAAACTGGCCCATATCCTGCGATGAAACAGGCTGCTATACTTAGTAGTCAGTCTTCGTTGACTGTTTTTGTCACCGAATTTCGACTGAACCAAAAAGAAAGGTTACTTGAATACTTACAATTTTACATGGTTTTGCACGTATTTATGTTGCACAGCGCGTGCGTACCTCAGGGTCAGCTGTTTGTTTAAGCCTCTTAACTGCAGCTACCCTAAAAATGGCAGAGAAAACTTTTAGTCCAGGTAAGGCCTAAAATGATGCAATATCCATTGCCATTTTTCCCCAATTTTATGGTCAAAGTTTTAAAAAAAAGTGAAAAAAACGACTGAAGATATCTAAATAATTGAAGTTAATTGTGTCAGTTTAATATTGTATACAAAGGGCCACCTGGTATAAGCAAGCGTCACTAGCACAAGGGATTTGGTAGTAACTGAAGTCACATGAAGCAGCACATTAAATTTTTCCCACTCTAAGTAAAGCAACAGGTTACTTCATGATCTTCTAACGCCTGACGCAAAAGTCCACAGGTCATATGGCACAAGTCATGTGTAAACGGGTTTCAGCTGACTTAAGTAACCATGGCGTATCGACCTCATTGCGTGCTAACCTGATCGCGCAACCCGGCTGCAACGTTTATATGGTTATTCATGACTTAATATAGATAACACGATGTATCTTGCTGCTTCAAATGCATGACCATTATTGAATGCAGTCTGAAGAACTTACCATGGATTCACTTGAAAATGTTTCAATAATTTTAGTTACCAATGACATTTGCCTGAACGATTTACAGTTTTCGGCGACTTTTTACTTCTTGCCGTAGAGTTTATGCATTTTTGGACAAACGCCCTCACTATTCGTTATTTGCTTTAATAGGTTAACAGGATTTGTATTGGCGTTAACTAAGTTTTCAAGAAATAAAAATGGTACAAAATATAAGCACACCACTTCGTAAGACAATTAATTTCTATAATCACCAAGGTTTTTGAGCAAATTAATTAATGTTTAATAAAAAAACTATTTTACGTGGCTACAAAGAATGATAATTCGAAGTAATAATGTGCTTCTAATTCCCCATATCCAGTTCAACTTTTCAAACGCGTGTTTTAGAAATGCATTAAGAAGGCAGGGATTAGGTACTAATAAGCATTTTCAGCGTTTTGTTTTTCATCCAGTAGGCCTTATTTGCCTGTTTTTCGTTGTCTAATGCAAGAAATATAGACAAAAAGAAAGGCTTAATGTGACGCTGATATAATAATTAGCATCAGTAATGCACCAAATTAAAGTGGTCTCTTTAACCTTGCTAATAATGTGACATGGATGGAGTAAGAGATTTACAAGACTATTAATTTTAAAGAGTAAGGATGGAAGAAGGAATTCGATATAATTAAGTATCGACACGTTTTTTTTGTTTTGTTGATTACACATCATGTATTCAATTAAGGGTAAATTATGCGGGAACCTTAGTGTTGGAAGCGACATATTGTTTGGGCGGTGTGTCCACTACCGAGGACATTGTAATTGAAATAATCTTAAGCTACTGCGTTTCTGCATATATCGGATCTGTCGACACTCAAGCCGGTACTCGACAACCTAATTCAGGAAGCCTTTAAAAATATCCGGACTAATTTAGGAATGGGACACTGTGTTCTAGACGACTTTCGAAATAACTGTCCGTATTAGCGGTTCACTGTGTACCAATGAAACGTGATACTAACGATCGTTTTCATTATGTTAACTTGTCACATTTAAGGTGGTCTTCGTAGACTGTTTCTACACGTGACATTAGCTGCCCATGAAAGCATCACTGGGAAACATGGTATTTTGACCTTGATTGATACTTCTTTCCCTTTTACTCCTTTTTTCCTCAAACTTTATTTCAGAGATGAACGGAACGCCAAAATGTACCAGAGTTTGCCCCAATGTATTAATTTGCTACCAGCGATCTTCATATGCTCAAAGATCAATGCCAATGATGTGAATCCTAATAATTTGCGTCCATTAGCTTGGTCAGCGACTACCCTCCGTTCACAGCGTCCCCATCAATAGTGCGAAAGAGTGAGCACACCAATTATTTTCCATTTACACTCCCAACATATACATTCCAGTAACGTGGCTATCCGGTCACTTAATAAGTCACTCAAACTACATTGCTCAGCAAGTTCTTACAAACAAAATTGGCTTAACAGTCTAATCGACATCCGTCTCCTTTAGTTTTCCTAACCTAGACCTTTAATACCACGTATTAATTCTGCTTATATATTATTCAACCTCTTTTTGGAAAACGGCCCAAAACTTGCGTTCTTCTATTACTAACATCTGAAGCTTCCCACTTCTCAGCTAATTAAGCCTTAATTTGCAACATATTTGGACACCAGAAACATTCAATTGCAGTGATCAAAAAAATATAGAATTTACAGAAAAGGTTTATTAAATATCTTCCATCCTAAATTTATTTCGATTTTGCATGTTTCCAGGAAAGACAAGAGTTCGTTGCAGATCTACTGTTAAAAGACAAGCGATGAAGTTGCAACTTTAATGCTTTATGCAGTATAAAACTTGTTGGTTTTCTGAACTATGTTGGATGACCCTGTCCTGGTTATGCGCTCCACATAGACATGTTGCCTCTTGAACAAGTGACCTGGTAGTTCAGAAATAACTACTATATAAACATCAGAAAATTTGTCTACTGATTGTGGTGCATTAATACAGGCAACAAGTACGGCTGTTTTTTACCGTTAAAGGTATCAGTCAAAAGTCCCTTCATTATGCTTTGATCGTTTTGCTAGCATTAATTAAGTCGATAAGTTAAAACAGAATTTTTTTTTCTGCACGATTTATATACCAGCTTAGACAATGATGCTAAATAGATTCTGGTTTGTCGTCTTGTAAACAGGATGAAAACTCTTGTCTGCGTTCTGGCTGCGATCTGCTTTGCAATGGCGCAGGACTTACAGCAAAAGAACAGGGATGAAATTCTCGAATTTCACAACTGTGCGCGTGAAAATGTGCAACCCCCCGCTAGCAACATGCAAGTGATGGTAAGCACAACGTTTGCAATCGCGATTTGATTTGAGAACATTCGGATCAAAATTGGTGCGTCAAAATAAAGCAAATTGATTCACCCTCTAAGATCTTAATCTGGAATATATTCCAGTAATTTGTGACTTAGTTTCATAACTTCTTTTTTTAACATCTACGACATCGACGTATTACTAACATGATGCAGGTTTAGAATGACAAGTACATAACATACCACAATCTATGTACATAGTCATTTCGAAGCGCTAACGTTATCCGTTAAGTAACCACGTCTGAATTATTTCTTACAAATATATTTCTTTGGCCTTCTACTGAACCATTTACAGTGTTTTGTAATTGACTTATTTACGCATTAGCACACCAGATATTTTGCTAATTTAGAACTACTCAATGGAAATGGAACGCTTAGCGTTAGACTGGGTGAGACGCTGTCGCTACGAGCATCCCGATCCTGACATCTACCCGCAATATAAGAACATCGGCCAAAACTTGGCAATTATGACAATTGACACACCTGATTGGGTGACGATGGCTCAGGGTTGGTTCGACGAAGTGGAGGATTACGACCATGCCAGTAACAGATGCCGAGGTGTTTGTGGTCACTACACACAGGCAAGTTGGGAGCGATTCTTTCATTGCCAGACTAGCTTGCACTTTCAGACGGCAATATTAGTAACATGCTATTAGCAAATGACAGCTAACTAATTATCTGTGCCGTGTCAAGTAGTCAAAGAATGATCGCATTTATTTCCATTTGCTTTTCAGATGGTATGGGCTACGTCAAATGAGGTTGGCTGTGCAGCGCATCGATGTGACTCAATTAGGCCGGAGTGGCGACGAACCGTCTACCTTTTGGCCTGCCAGTACAAACCAAAGTAAGTCTGATAGCAATGCCTGCTTAATCAGACATTTCAATTTTCACTAACTAAATGGCACCTTTTGTAATACACTTTTCAAGTGGAAATTGGTATGGACAGAAGCCGTATGAAAGTGGACGCAGTTGCAGTAAATGCCCCAAGGGATCAGTGTGCGAGCGCAATCTCTGCGTTCCGAGACAGCCAGTCAACGAAGAGAGGCCAAATAATCGGAGGGAGCCAGTTCAACCACACGAAGTTGAAAGGGAAGACCCTATGCGAAGGTGCTTCCCAAAACGTACTCGTCTTGGTCCTAATGACCGCTAACTACTGAGCTGCACTTCAGTAACCAGCAGCTGTTGCTCTTGCAATGACTCGTTTGAGTTTTTTTCCTTAAATTGCAATATAATAATTGTTTCACAATTTGTTCTTTTTCCACACACTTACACACTGAATGTCGAGATCAGAGAAGTACAAAATATTCAGATAAACAACATGCAAAATCCTTTTTTGCTTCATAGTAGATAAATGTTGTTCAAATTTAAAGTCAGTAAAGTGGTATAAAAAATCTAAAAAAATACTGATTCATGTAGTCAATTGTGTTGGTCAAGGTAACAGGTACGTATTCAACAATCAGAAACAGTGAGTTATGGTCAAAAATGGTTTAAATCAGACCATGGATCACAATGTGGCGATAGCCAAATAAGCTATTAAGCTATTTCACGTGGTCGGTTTTTGCATTTCGATGACGTTTTTTTATAACTCCAGAGCACATTGAATTAGTAAAGCAGTAAAAAGCTATTTTTTGTGAACATTTTCCAGTGACTTTCGAGATAAGTTACAAATATCACTGTTACTAAAATTGACATGTTTGCATGTGCCTAAAAATGAAACATTTGTAAATTTTATTATCTTTCTCGAATAATTTCATTGAATGCCAAAACGGCAGTGGTTTGAGTGTTGTCCTCTTAAGTTTATTGAGGTCCTGTTGGTCACCAGGGAATTTCAAACCGATAACATTGACCATTTAAGAAGCGCATTTGTAGCGCCAATAATCATAAATAGAAAATCCTACATACATGTCCATGCTAATGACTCAAGATCAGTCAACTCCAAATGGAAACTTTGACAGAACTCTTTACTTAAAAAAAATTTGTACACGATCGCCTCTGCAACTCGTTCCGTTCGACATCTTTTTAGCATTTTCTTTTATGAACAACAATCCTCACACTATGTAACAATTCAATTTACATTGTGGAGAGTTATATTATTCCAAACATTGTTTGTTAAACGATACAATAAAAATGCAATTTTCGAGTTTAAATATAGATTTTAATAAGGCCTTTAGTATTCGAGAATGTCACTAATTTATATCTGACAAAGTACTTGTGCATGTGATATGGTGAATTCAAATTAGCACTGCCGCTTGAGAAGGCGCCTCATTACTGTGTCTGAATAAACGTCTCACATCATGCATTGCTGCCGTAATTTACAATTAGGATTTGGCTTCTTTCATGCCATCATCATTACCTATTATCAAGGTCAATTTTTATTTCTATTGACGTTTTTCGCAATTAACGTCATTGGTAACTTTGTAATGCATGTCTACAAGGCGAACATTTTAGTTATTAAAACGCATTGCTTTTTTATCTGCTGTCCCTAAAATTACACATCGTCACTAGAATCAAGTGCTTTTAAGATATTATAATCAATAACCAACCTTTTTAATTAACCGGAATGGTTAAAATTATGTACACTGCCAAACTGGTACCTAGATACTAATTACGTGCAGGTCGATACAATATAGTTTTCAGATTTTTACAAATCTTCAAAGAACTAAGATATTGAACTAGTTATGTACCTTTACCAGAAATCAAATCCTACATACAAGTCCATGGTAATGACTCAATTTCAGCGGAAAATACCATTGACATATGTCATGACACTGCCAACTCAAGTATTTAGCACAAGAACGCCTAAACACATCATGACATTTCACGGCATTTTTGTCGTCTAATTTTAGAACAATAAGGCTGCACCGTGTGAGCTAGATAATAGTCGCATTTTCAGGCATTGTGTCATCAAACGCCATCTTTGATGTCGCCTGAAACATTCTGAAGGTCTATAAAATACCAACAGAGCAACAGGGAGTCCGAGCAAACATTAATGACCTCTGTAATTTAAGGAAGTGACATCTTGACCCATAGCTTCATCGAACATCAATTAGGACATAATTCAAATCAGAACAATGGCATGTGCCTGTCAGTATAGATGCAGTCAATTGGAGCCACACCGTTAATCGTGTCTGTTGTCATCCTCTTGCTGGCCAAACTGTATTGTGTTCATTGTTAAAAAAAGTGGTCAGAAAACTGTATTTCTTTCCTTGTGTGTTTATACTGAAATATGATTACCCTGGCATTGATTAATAAATCCACTTCGATGGATAGTAGTAGCTTTTTCTCTGCCTGTTCTTAATAATCAAACCATTTTCATGACACCTCTCTGACGTTATTTTATGACGAACACTACAGCTTCATCATATATGGTTGAACAGAACAGCTATGACAGGAACGATCACCACGAAGACATGCCTGGCTCCATTATCATCCCTTTTGTGCACTATTCTGGATGCACGGCATTCATAGCCTTCGTCCTAGCATGATAATTTGCACGTTTTATCTGTAATCAATAACAGCACACTTGGATAAATGGCACTAGAAGTGACATTACCACAGAGAGGCAGACGAGACTGTGCTGGGTGCGGAATGCTTCGAATAGGATAATGGTGAATAGAGGGTTAATGCGCTGACAAAAACAATGTTTTACCATGGTGTAGGGTAATTTGATGAAGTAGTCCTACCTGGTCATTTTGTCAGACAGACGATTAAGCGTTCTTCTAAAGTAAGCGATCGTAGCTCCATAGTGAGGAACAACGCGCCAACACAACATTTTTTTGCGGTTAAAACAGCTCTCAATTGGTTAAATATGCAAGCAGAGTAACCAAGCACATTGTCTAGAAGCAGCGCTACATTGCGGTGAAGAGCACAATCAATTTGATTCTTTACCCACTTAAGTTGTTTCAAAAATGCAAGATTATGTGAACAGCCTATCAAAAATTTAGAACATCCAAGTTGACAGTGGTTTAAACGCTTATAATATTACATCTGTGCAAACTTTCTAAGTAGGTACATAGATGGCATCAAATTAAAATGTTTTGCTATGGGGTCAACGAATTCGGTCTTGCTGTGTCGAGAGGATGTAACATCGTGTTCTCGAGATATACAACATTGCATCGCAAAATAGTCCACATAGATAAGATGTAATACTCAGGCCTTTTCAGCTATAGGTGAACTCGGTGACGATTCAAATGCCACACTCGAAGGCATTTCAAGGACCAGTTATTGGGTATCATTAACTTCAGGCTCACTGCTGATTACGGTCAAGTTTTAAAAAATCGGATTCCTAGTTTGTATTAATTAATGTAGGGAAATATTGAAGAAAAAGAAGCTGTGGATGGACAAAGGATCAGATAAAAGTAAGTCAGCATGGTGCTTGTTGTGGTAGGGACAAGTAGAAAAAGGACCTTCACATGACAGCATTTAAGCACAGCGTGCAACCTAGTTTAGGCTGAGAAAGGGAATTCAGAAGCCCAGAGGATATTTTCTTTTTAATTACTTAATCTTCAATTGATTTTATTGGAGCTGCGATAAGCAAATGGCAAGGTGCGTTTTAGGTTATAACTTGGATTTGTTCCAAATAAAGTAAGCGTTAAATCGCGGTTTGTTTTTGTTGGTCCAGAAAATCCAACCTCGCCAACGTGGCAGGTGTTTGGACTTCATGCAACCGAATTTTACCGTCCTTGTAAGCCTAAGGTACGAGCATCTTCAGGACGATATCATGGTAGTGAATAATCAGTCAACACAACCGATAGTGTAGGTTTGGGAAAAAGTCAATAATGCAAGTCATTTTCAGATGTAGACTTGGCAAATTATATAGTGAGTGAGCTGGGTTATGGCCGAATTATCATCGTCAAACTTGTCCAAACATTAAGAGGTAGAAGTGAACGAATGTCCTAGATATGATACTCAATACTTGATATATTGCAACTTAGCAAAAACTACAGGCAACTTAATCTACGCAAACCACCATTGCATGTAACGCTCAATAATATCAGAATGGAGTGAAGTTTCAGAATGACGCTGAATAGTATACTGTAGCAAAAAAATACTTTATTGGTAATAACATAAGAAAAGCAAAAAATTATGCTACGGAGTAAATAACAACTATAGAGAAAATTAGGGTGAGTGCAGACAACAAGGTCGAAGCAGCCGAATTCTTCGAGCACTGCCTGCGTTGACAATACTTGTATTCCGCCGGACATTTGCTGCAAGCTTCTCCCATCTCATACGGCCTCCTATTCGGCGTGTTGCCTCTAAAAAACATCCACCCCATCATCATTTCATCAATAAAACAAGGAACTAGTGCGATGCACCACGCCTCGCATTGAATCAAGCGTACAAATACCACATTCATTTAGTGCCATTTCGACGACACAGGAAACATTGGGTGAAGTAACTCACGCGGGATTGTACATGCAGGCCAGCAGGTAGGTGGGCCTCGCCTCATTGGGTAGCAGGCCATCACATCTGCTCTTTGCACATCCCACCTCCGTTGTAGTTGCCCACACTGCCTGCAAGAACAATTTCAATTCATGCTTTACTTAGAGCCGTGTCCCAGTTATTCGTTAAGCACATGAGAGATAACCAAGTGGATGGTTAGTTGCGGAGACAGCAAATAAATGATAAGGCACATGATGCATACTCATGGCTACTGATGTAGATATAATTACTTAACTGAAGATCCCGCCAAAAGTGCACACCTCGATTTCTGTCAAATATATCCAAGACACCAAATGCCCACTACAAACGCAGCACCAACCTCCTCCACATTTATATATGTAAGCCTATCTTCATTACAGGCAAAAGCCCCTAAATACCGCACACACATAGTGGATATTTGTTCAAAAGCACTTCGCGTCATTATTGACGATGACGTGGATTTTACGTACTTGTGTGTACACGGAGCAGTCGCCCATGCAGGAATTTTTGTCGTAGTCATAGAAAACGGCCTTGTCACCGAAAGTGGACACCATCGTTTCAAATGGATAATCACCGCCCACCGTCACGAGAGTTGTAACTGAGAAGCCTCTGTATTGTTTTTGGACATTGGGATTGGGTTTCCTTTGAGTGCATTGTCCCACAAAGTCTTTTGCAAGCAGCTCCAGTTGCATCGAGTAATTCTAAATAATTAAAATGCAATCGAGTTCCCATCGGCATCTCACACTCATGCACACACACAGTTAGTTTATGAGTGGCAGCAACTTGCACTGCAGATATATAAGATCAGTACGCTAACAACAGGGCAACGTAAAGTGACATTTAGGTGAACACAAGTGTGGACAGTTAACGCACCATGATTTGCATGTTGCTGGCAGGTGGATTGACGACTTCGCGTATCGAGGTATGTGCGTCGACGATAGCGAGGCGCTGTTGTGCATTTGGAATTTCTGTTGTTGCTGCTGCTGATGCACACCACGCAAAAGCCAGGATGCAGATGAGTTGATGGATCATTTCTGTAAATGATAAGGTTAACAAGCAAATTAGGCACGATTACCAGAATGTGGAGATGGCTGAAGTCCTTGTAAGCCGGAGAGAAATTGCCTGTGATGCGGTGATCTGTGCCATGGGGCTGCACATTTGAGTCCATATATATGTGTGCTCGAAGCTAAAATTAGATGGTTTTGTGAGCAATCTTGCGAGAATTGACCCCAAAATAGTCACAAACGTGCGTGCTTTTTCGGAGCATTAGTGGCATGTGAGTTGCAACGCAGTTCATTTGGAAGACGAAAGAAAGCTTATTCATCACACTTTAGAGCACAGATATTCCTAAGCCCGTTGATTCGCCTTTTTGCCAATTATTTATTTCTGGGCAAAAATTGTGTACGCAATATCTTGACAACCCCTCCACTGCGAAAAATTACTAAGCTGCATGAAAGCACCTTAATTCCTGGTGGCTAAAACATCGCGTGTCACACATCAAATTCTCATGTTAGGATTAAGTGTGCCACAGACCATCATTTTTAATGTGTTTTGTCACATTTGTAAATAAATGAAAAGCCTTCGTAACTAACCATGACGTTTTAGGGAGTAGTTCTGCATCGCACGATCTGTTATCTGGGCTGAATCGATGTTTGATGGAAGGTTTCCTGTTTGTTAAAAAAGAATTTTATTTTAAAACCTCTAGTTGTACAATCAGATGGCCTTTTGATTAATTTCTTTACGAATTTGAAAATTTGAGTTTATTTCTGCTGGATTTTTCAGATCAACACCAGCCCAGATATTAAATATTCCATGTGATGGCCAGTGTGCTATACAGTGCACTGCAGTGTGTTATTATGATGTTTATTGAAGTAAAATGAGCTGAGCTTCATGACCATTTGGAAGTGTCAATTGATTGGTGACACGGAGACAAAGTACATTATTAATTAGTCTTTTCGGCACATACGCCTTAGCTCCAAATTTAGTTTGCTATTCTTGAACTAAGTAGCAGATTTAAGTGCTACTGCCACAAAAATTACTCACAAAAGAAATGTGTTGGCACATGGGAATCAGCGAGGTAATTTAGGGACTTGGAGATGCTGCTTAATCCGCCATTACGATATTTAGGAAGAATGGTAAAGGCGAAATCGACATGGACCTAAACCAATTTGATAGAAGATTTGCTAATCATTTAATTTTTTTTAATTTCAAAGAAATATTTTGACTTTATTAAAATTGGAACATTATTATTAGTGTTAATGTAGCAGTGGTAAATTTTGGATCACATTAGAAATGTTAAAATGGATCATTTGATAGTCACCACGGAGAATCGTGCGACGACGGTGGTGAGGGTACTATGGGTTGGACACGTGAATTTACGCCATTTCTTGATTTACCTTTAATTCCGCCGTATATCACAATTACATCAACACAGCTTCTATGCACCGAAGGCGGACACAAGCCACTGTCGTTATTCCAGTGTGCGTTCTCAAAAATTTGACTCTTGCCTTTGAAGATAGGCAGGGCTTAATCGAGACCGCATCGAGTTCTTTACCCTCCATTACATATCTACATACGCCATGGACATCGCAATGAAAACACGATAAAAAAAAAGTAAACTGAGGTTTATATCAATATAATCACACAATGTTGAAAAAACGAGAGTTGTTAAAACTTCAATGAAAACCATCAACATCGTCAAAGCAAAGTGATTTTATTTGAAGGGTAGTGGATATTAGGCAAAATCTTACAACCCTCTAGTGAAGTCTCTTTATAGCGTAGCATGGATTGGTGTGAGAGCGACGAATGACTTATTAAACTTACTAATTAAATTTGATTGCATCTTTGACATATCTAGGTTGGTAAACGATCTTTAATCACGCGCAATTGCTGATAATCCGCCTCAGTTCATTGCTTTTGGAATGAACTTCTTGGGAATCACGATGATTCAAATATTTTAATATTGTCTTTCCAGCCTCCGACAAAAGCCACCGTTCTCACTGCACTTCCTCGACTTCGCAGAACTCCAAATCCCTCATCAATACAGTGAACGATTATCCTGGATTATTCCATAACGTAGGTTTCGATGTCATCACATTTATGACCCACACTCTCACACACCTGAGCTATAAATACACTCGCACAAATCCCACATTTATCACAAACACACCCACTTTGTTGAGCTCTGAATTAAACGGTTGTGTTCATGTCTTCTCCGGTCTTTTTCATCGGGGTTAGCAGGGGAGCGTGACCACGCCCGCTGTGGTTCAAGACCACGTGATGAGGCCCACTGTAATCCCTGGCATTGGGTAACCTCATGTAAAATGGAAATTGCAAATGTCTTACCTAGGTTATAATAACAAGGACAAATTATGACCTCTAATCAATTTCATTTGCAAATTACCTACAAAAAAAGATTTTTTTAAATGTGTGTGATCTTAAACTCTGTAGTAAATTCTGGAATAGGCACTTTGATGTTCGAAATAATAATTCGAGGGAGAGAATCAAATTTATGCAGTGTTGAACTGTAACGCAATTTGCAACCTCTATATTTTTCACTAACTTCTAGTAAAATCATGTCTGTGTCTTCTTTTAAAAATTATAGACACCTGCATTAAAATGTTCGATGACACGCAAATTTGTTTTATTCTCGAGGTATATTAGACACAATTTTTTACATTAAATTGATTCCAAGTGCCTTGTAATTTGCACAATTGTTATCGATTTTCAAAAAGTGAGGATTTGAAACAGTCTAAACATAAAGGAGAATTGTCATTAAGCTTTTGCTACTCTGAGAATCATGCCGGTTGGCAAAAACTACTACTGCAGTGTCTCAATTCACACACAGAAACCCAAATATTCACTTGAGTAGGTTTAATTAACTTGGTAAAATTGCAATGGTAGGTGTGCTGGCTGATTATTTTTTCGTGAACAACACTTACAGGTGCACTGTTACGAGTACAAAGAAACCTTGTTAAATCTTTTTTTTTCTCAGGATCCGTGAAATATATGAATTTGAGTAAAGTGAATTAAGAAATTCATCCTTTTCGTGAGATGAAATTGGAACTGACAATTCGGATTGTGCAAATGTGACCATTTGTTTGATGTACAGCACGAACGTTTTTTTCATCTTTACAAAAATCACATTTTTGACCAAGTGATCTGGGCAATGGGTTTCATTTGACAACTCGAAAACACCCTATTTGCTAATAATGTCCTACCAGTACTACACGTCGTCGTATATACCGGCATATATTTGGCTGAATTTTAATTTTCGACTAATTCGATTATTTATTAATTGATTTTAAAACATCCTTATCGCTGTTCTAATACCTAATCACTTCTAAGCATGATTGTCAATAACGAAGACGATCTGAACCCATTATGTTCTATTTTGTACACAAAAAAAGCCAAAGAAAACTTTTAAAGTGCTTATATAAATTATAGGGCATTTAGGTGACAGTTAGTCTATGACTTTCTTCGATAATGATTTGTTTCTTAGAGTAATAGGCGTACGTGACAAACTGAAGGTTGTTTGATGCGTAAAACTGTTTGAAAATCACATATCTTTTGTGCTTTGTAAAACTGAAAATTTAGTTGCTGTAATATTTGCCTTAATACATTCATAGTTTTGATCATGATTCTCAATGAGTCAGCAATTCGCTTGACTGCCACGAAAATACTAAATGCTCTTAGAATTTGCGTAACGCTGATGAGAGATTCACGATGTTCAACGCCTCAAAACGTTTGTGTTTCTTTGCGGATGCAGCAAATTATTGTATTTATGCGTTAGGTTTACTGTGGCCTTCAATGTTCACACAATTAGAGTGGTTGAGAGGAGAAAGAATACAGTCATACTCGACCGTTATCAACGACAATTTATAAATTCGAATCGCATAACCAGGAATTTGGTAATTTGAATGGCTATAACAACAGCTCTGGGAAGTAAAATAATAGGGCTCTCCAATGGGCTTAAACAAATATTCATGAAAGGTGGTGTATTGGATTCACTTGTAACTCAGAATGCGATTGTAAATAAGTAGTTGCGAATACTAACTCTGTTGTCAACAGAGAAGGAAGTCATTAATAAGCACTACCCACAGCTCTTCCCTCGTTCAAAATCCACGCCGCGTGCTGATGCTCTTTCAGTTGACAGGTTTTGATTGATCCGAACTAGGCAAAATAAAAGGCGCGCAGATGCTCAGTTGACTCTCTCACAACGTCAAGTGAAATGTTGAAAAACGTTACCCACAAATCGGTAGTCAACATACCTGATTAATTACTACTACATTAGGTCAAAATATCCTCGTAAGGTAATAACTGTCAATTCGTCATGTCAGAGCATAAACCCCAAGCATTGATGACAGGTTACACTAGTTAC